CAATACAACCCCACCCCCAAAAATCTTGCAACAATAAACTAATTGACAGTAAACAGCAAATGAAAAACTGCAGCTGTAAACCGTCAACTAGAGCAGTGTTTCTCAACCTTGGCGACTTTAAGTCCTGTGGACTTCAATCCCCCCTGGCTGGGGGATTCTGGGAGTTGAAGTCCACAGGACTTAAAGTCTCCAAGGTTGAGAAACACTGCTCTAGTTGACGGTTTACAGCTGCAGTTTTTCATTTGCTGTTTACTGTCAATTAGTTTATTGTTGCAAGATTTTTGGGGGTGGGGTTGTATTGGGATCTTTTACATGTAGCAAAGTCCGGTCAAACTTTCCCTTCATATCTATTACCTGTAAGGACTAATGTTTTGTATCATGAACTACACAAGGATATTAATCTGAATGAGAAAGGCTTGTTTACATCTCTCTCACGTTTAACTGTGTTAAAGGCAGACCAGCATCCTGCCCCAGCTAAGAAATTCAGGCATTTTAAAATGAAGAGAGCGGGAGCTCATGTTATCCATGTTAGTTATATGGATATCTTGTTTAACCTGAACCTCTGTAGCATCTGGACTCAAAAGGGTCACCTTTAGGTGACTTTTCTCACCTGGCCTAATGGAGATAAAATAGAAGGAAAGTCTTCAAGTTTAATTCTGTTCCAATTTCTGGCAACATATGGAATGGGATTTCCTATTTTCTCCCATTGTTTTTTTTCAACTTCACAGTCCTGGAGTCCCCTGATGGCCTCCAATCAATATATAATATCCAGATACGGTCATGGTTAACTTGACTCCCAATGTCATTTCCAATGATGAACTGTCTAAATTATTTTGTCTGTTCTCCTGTGTGTGAAAAAAAAGAACAACTAGCAGATGACAGAAATTAAGTCAGTTCCTTCCTTAACCACCTTGGCCTAATGCAGAAGTTTATTTCAAAAACAGCCACCCTTAACTACTGTAGCCATAATTGTAATTTATTTGGTGCCAAAGAGTTTATGTTCTGGCACAAAGGCAGTGACAGATAGGATAAAACACACTGTGTAAACACAAAGCGGACCGGCCAAAGCAGCCACCCAGTGGAAGTTTGAATAAATGATTGGGAAAATGAAATAAAAATGTTGTGCAACTGAAAAAAATCAACTGAGAAGTCGTTACTGAAAAGTCAGTTTTCCTGTCTATGGAGATTCCCAATCATCCAAGTCACAATTGTCCCCAAGGTGCTTGTTCCAAAAGGCAGCTGGACTTCCTGTTCCCCCCCCCTTTGAAAACGATTCACTTCTCATCCAAGAAACTTCTACGGTTTTAAATTGAGGGATGGGGAACAGAAGGATTTAAGTGCTGACAGCTCAGAGGATTTCAAATAACATAAATCCTTCTCTTCCCTGCTTGTTATTTAGAACTGAAGAAGCTTCTTGGTTGAGAAGAGAAACGTTTTCAAAGAAGAAAAAAAACCAAGAAAGTCCAGTTGCCTTTTGGAAAAGAAAGCATCTTTGGGACAGTTCTCCTAACTACCTACCTTATTTTCGTTTCCCTTCAAAAAGTGGAACATGCAGAAACTCGTCAAGGGCAGCCCTTGAAGAGCATTCGGAGACTTCAGCTTGTCCAGAATGCAGCCGCGCGAGCGATNCATATAAATAAATTACTCTAAACTCTAAACTCTCTAAACTCTAGTTTTCAAAAAAAGCAAGACAGGAAACAATGGATGGAAACCAACCAAGGAGAGAAGCAACCTAGAACTAAGGAGACATTTCCTAACAGTGAGAGCAATCAATCAGTGGATCAACTTGCATTCAGATGTTGTGAATGCTCCAACACTGGATGTTTTTAAGAAGAGATTGGATAACCATTTGACTAGAAGACCTCCGAGGTCCCTTCCGACTCCCTTTCCAACTCTATTATTCTTTTTTTTATTAATTTTTATTTTAAACACATAAGCACATCAACAAACACATGAGTTAAAAAACAACATAGGAACAATCAGTTCCATCGTATATCATACAGCAGTTCCGAATCGGTTTCTTTGCAGTTAATGTTTTCCCTTCTATACATTTCTATCTTGCCTTCATAATCTCCTCTATTATTCTATGCTGTATGTTTTTGTCCTGGTTTTGGCTTGGAGGAAGAACAGAAGGGTGTGAATTATAGCAAGAGAGAGCTGGGCTGGCAAAAGAATTAACCATCCTCAGCTCCAAGTGCTTGACGCATGGGAAGGCATACCCCACCCCAACCCCAGAAGACACGAAGTTGGCCTCGGGTGAAGGTTTTGCTGCCATCTGCCCTCCTATTGACCACCCACCAACTTCTTTCTCAACAGGGACCTGCGGGGAAATGCTTTCCACTGCGACTGTAAGCTGAAATGGCTGGTGGAATGGCTCAGCCACACCAGCGCCTTGGTGGAGCCCATCGAGTGTCACTCGCCGGCTGAGCTGAACCGCACCAGTCTCAGCGAACTGAGGCCTGGAGGGTTCAATTGCATCACCACTGGTAGGTCATCCTTTGTGCTTTGGGTTCCCTCCAGCGAGGAAGGACTGCCAACCCTACCCTGAGTCAAAGACAGAGAGCAGCCTCAATCAGCAAGTATTACTACGGTATCCTGGAAGGGTCAGCCAAATGGGTTAGCTCTTTCCTTTGTCTCTCCATAATGGGGGAGAAGAATGGTCTTTGTTGGCTATTTTTTGCTCATAAGTTGCCCTTCTGACTATTCGGCATTTTCTGTCTTTGAGTACCAAAAAAGACCTTTATTTATTTTGACTTGTAGGGAAAAGGTTCTATCGGCAGCAGTGGTGGGATTCAGCCAGTTCGCACCTATTTGGGAGGACTGGTTCTTAACTTTCTAAGAGGTTCAGAGAACTGGTTGTTGGAAGAAATCTTCTGTTTTTTCCCATTTTACAGGGCTAATCCTGTAAGGAAGGCAGGAAGGAAACATCCTGGTGCCCACACGACCTGAAGCTTCTTGGAAAATATTGTTGGAAATAGTCTCCCTTCTTGGTGTATCCATAGTCCTCCAAATTATAATTCAAGATGACTCTTGCTTGGAGTTGATATTATGCCTAAAGCCTAGCTGGACAATCTGCCTGCTTTCAAGGGCCACGCTAGTCCCTGCCATGGAGGCCACAGTTCATTGGTGGGATTCAGCCAGTTCGCACCTATTCGGGAGAACCGGTTGGTAACTTTCTAAGCAGTTTGGAGAACCGGTTGTTGGAAGAAATCGCCTTTTGTTTTCCCCCACTTTAGAGGGCTAATCCTGTAGGGAAGGCAGGAAGGAGACATTCTGGTATTGTTTCTAGCCTAATCTTTATAGCCC